TGTAAGAAGTTATTCTCTACAAGAGCTACTTAAGTTTTACGGATTAAAACATCGCAATAAGATTATAATAAACTACCTATTTGCCGCAGATTCACCTACTCGAAGCCGTTATTTCCTAATCCTATAATTCTCTGAATAAATTTCTTTCTTGTTCTTTTTATATCTCCACAAGATTTTCTAAAAAGATTTCCTCAGTATGATTACTTAGGTATAGTGAAGTATGAAATATGAATATCAAAACCAGAGGGAGACTTTGTACAAAAGTCGATTGCTTGGGTACCTCTGTCCCATTCGTGTTTCAACCGTGAAGTAGTTGTGTTTGCATGGCTGTGTTTCGGTTTGAAGGGTGGGATATGGCGTGAATTTGCTGGGTACAGAGGAATAACATCTGAGTCCTTAGGAATGGCAACGCATGGAGGGTATCATGGGCGAAACAGTATACTCTGTTATGTCCATAGTACTGCTCATGTCTACAGGCGACGGTTACCACTTTCCATCAGGTGGGCCGTCAGCTTGTTTGCCATTCTAAGTTGTATAAAAAAAAATCGGATGTGGGTAAGTCTACATGTTAATTTTATAGACTTCTAATTTTCGTGTAGGGGTTCTAAAACTAAGTCCGTGCCTGTTTATCTGCCAGTTAGCTTCACAGTTGTACAGTTAGTCGTTTATTTTTTGTGTTTTATATTTTTGGAGAAATGTTTGTAATAAAATTTTGTTTGTACTACGTGGTATTATATACAGTTTCTATAGTTGTAAAATAATAAACAAACAAACAAACCTAATAGATAATAATGGTTAATCTTGCTCTTTAATTATAATATATAATACTACATAGTATAAAACAAAGTCGTTGTCACTGTCTGTCCGTCCTTATGTATGCTTAAATCTTTAAAACTACGCAACGGATTTTGAAGCGGTTTTTTTTAATAGATAGAGTGATTCAAGAGGAAGGTTTATATTTATAATACATACATAATATAGTAGAGAAACACTGATAATTTTGGAGGATCCTAATGTAATGTCGTATTGTAATGGGGGGCCAGCGACGCTAATTAGTATAAGCATTGCAACCGTGCGAAGCCGGGGCGGGTCGCTAGTTATATTATATTATTATTAGTTATACAATGTTCTAACTAGAAAAAATTATGGATCGTTCCGTAATTTTGCCTGTCATCGTCATCGGTACGGTTCATCAATAAATATTCTCAATTTATATATTTTAAGTAACCAATATTCCTCTAAGTTTATGAATGACGGTAATGCTAGTAATTCATCATGCTTGTGCACTTAGCCAGTGAGCTAAGTAATGACTTGTGGTTGTATGTCTGTATATGTCTATACTCATTTATGTCAGCTAAAATTTCAGTTTTGCCTTATCATTATTATATTTGAAACAATTTATCTTTCTGTCCTCTTACGTTATTGTTAACATTTTTATTCTTGAAAAGTAAATTAGATATGTGATCATCGTGACTTGCTTCTATGTAATGCCTAAAAACAATAGAAGGTAAATTTCGTCGTTGTGCAGCGAAAAATCACTAGCTAACATTTTTGGCGAAATCTATTTTTTGCCCCATTTGGTTTAAAATACAATAATCTGCCCTAATGTACTAAATAATAAATAAATAAGGGCTTCACATTATATATAAATATATATAAAACACAGTGAGTTCACGAATTTTCCGTTGTATACATATGTATATAGACATCGGATAAAAATGAACATAAATAATATATGAACATATATATATATATATATATATATATACTGCAAAACTGTATTAATAAGTAATGCTTTAGAAAATTCGGTACAAAGTTTCCTTGCGGTAAAATGTGCTGTAAAAGTTAGTATAAACAATATACATAAATAAGTACCAGAAAACACCATTAAGAATTGTCGAATCAAAATAAACTATTTCCAATTTACGCCTAGGCAAACTGTTAATATTCAATTGGACTAGAAGTAAATCTTTTAATAAGGTCATTTAGGGACACGAGTGCGAATTATTTACACGAACCCGCCTCACAGTGAGTAGACCTTTGAAGGCGTTAAAGTTTTCAATGAAACAAATCTAATTTGACGGTAATAGTGTTATAGAATCTGTTTAAATGGGACAGCCCAAGAAGATAGTATTTAGATAACTTAATTATTCGATCAAATTCAGATTATTTATTTGCATTAAACGTGGTTACATTAGATGTTCATGTTGTGTACACTTCGAGTTAAATGTTTCACCAAAATATTGGTATGTAAAAATTTATTGAAATACCATAACCTAGTCATTTTGTACATAATATATGTGTGTCAAAAATAAATAATTATTATTAGAGTAAATTAAATATACATTATTAATATTATTATTTAGATAGGTAAGATAACAAATCGCAAATCCGGCCCCATATGGAGTATTGCTGTCACTTATGGGCCGGAGCACCTAAATACCAGCTTGAACTTTTCGACTCGTTGCAACGACGAGCTATGAGAACTGTCGATGATCCCAGGCTTCAAAAAAAAATTCAACAAGGGATAACTGAAGGAGGAATGATCGTACAGAAAATCTAAAAAAAAGGAAAGTGTAACTCTAAGTTTTTTTTTTATTCAATTTAGAATGGCAAACAAGCTGACGGCCCACCTGGTGGAAAGTGGTAACCGTCGCCTATAGACATGAGCAGTACCGTGGACATAACAGAGTATACTGTTTCGCCCATGATACCCCCCATGCGTTGCCATTCCTGAGGACCAAGGTGTTATTCCTCCGTACCCAGTAAATTCACGCCAAGTATCTAGTTTTTATATTGTAACAGTTTTTAACGTGAGTAGTTCTATTGTAATCATCTGAAAATCAAGTGAAAAATTTTTTGCTCGTATTTAAAATGGGCTGTGGCCTTCAAACATTTTTTTTTCATTATGCGACCAGATGACTCTTTTGGAAAATTTAATAAGCTTTTATTTGAGCTTTGTACGATGATTTGGTGCGGAGTTATCGTCGATCAAAGCAAAAAAGTCCATTTTAAGTTTGACAATCAATTACTTGAGAATTAATGATCGTACAGAAAATGAAAGGGTTTTGGAAGCTGCGTAATGACTGACAAAAAATGTTTTTTTTTTCAAAGTGATGTAGTTAAAAAGTTAATTAAAATAAAAAAAAAATCGTGAATTTAAAAATATTCAAAAAATTTCGCATAACTTCGGATATAATGAACGAAGGATATAGTCGGTTATTGAGGGTAAACTAAATTTAATTAATTCTATATTAAAATGTTTTCACGTCTTTCACTGTTGTGTTGATGCCACGATTGAATTAGTTTTTTTTTTTTTTACGGAGGTTAATGTACTCGTTTGTTAAATTTAGAAGCATATACATTTTGCAATCATATAAGAAATATCATCATCATCATCATCATATCAGCCTTTAGCTGTCCACTGCTGAACATAAGCCTCCCCTTGGGGGGTATGCTAGTAGTTACCACGCTTGGCAGGCGGATTGGCAATCGTAGTTAGGCTTTAGAGATGTTTTAAGAGGGACGCTGCTGCCCATTCCTCGCCCCTTCAGTCGCCTCTTACGACACCCACGGGAAAAGAAGGGGTGACTTATTCCATGCCGGTAACATATGGTTATGCAAGAAATATGCATACATTAAAATGAAAAATTGCATAAATGCATTGTTTAGTTTGGAGTCTGGAGGGATTAACGTGTATATAAAGTGGTACTCGCAGACGCTTTTCCCAGGGACATTATATCTACTTGTTTACTTTACTATAATATAGTTTCAGACGTTGTGAGGATCCATTTTATTCGGGTGCGAAGTTACCTGAAAGCATTTTAAGTACATAGAGGAATAAACATAGTCTGTTTACTTTAGAAGGGAAGGGTAACGATGCTTGAAATTTTCAGGTTTGTTGTCTCTCTGTTTAATCTTCTTATACACAAAGAAATACTATATTTTTAACAATAAATTATTTTCTGTTCATTAATAATGGTTTACATATAAAAAAATATGTATATTCACACATACACCATTCATGTACATCAAAAGGATAAATAAAAAATAGTAAAAGCTAGTAAAATAGCGAACTGTTCAAAGACTTTTTTTTATTCCTTTTGATATCCGATGAAAACTTCTTTGTTCAAATATTTGGTATATGTCTACATAAAAAAAATAAATAAATAAAAAGGAACAATTCCTTTATACTACTTTATTGGGGTCATCGTTCTACAACTTTTTATAAAGTATCTTGCATAAAAATTTAACTTAATTTGAGAAATTTATAACATGAATATATTATGGGAATTTTTATTTTACATAATAGCGTAATATGAAATTTCATAGCATTCTTCAAAGGATAATGATCCAGTCAATTAGCTACGGAATTTAAAAAATATATTTATAAGATTTTTTTACTTCTTTTGCTGTCTTATATTTGGAAACTAAAAAAACAATTAAAATGCAGTAGAGAATAGCGAGATATTTCACTCGATTTTAGAGTCACCTAAATTGGTTCAGCACTACAGAAAATGGGAATTAAAAAGTGTTTTTTTAATAACACAGTGCACCAACAGATAGTTTGTATATTTGTTTTCTACTATGATGTTTATGGGGGTATTTGTATAAAAGTAGATATACGTTACTCTCGGCATACACCCACGCAAATAACAGTCAGTAACGCAAGCTCTGCCGGCGAGAGCGGACATGCGTCACAGCTCAATGCGGAGAATTAAGGAGCTAGCATATGACATGTTTTACAGCTACATTTGCAATATAAAAAATAGAATAGAAAATATTAATTGCTACGAAAACACATAATTACAAGGAAAAATATAAAATTATTATATTTATATAAGAAGTATCTCATATTCGGCAAAAGGAACTGGCTCAGCTGATGCTGTGAGTGTCCCAGTGTAATATGTACAGCTGCTCAGCGCTTGTTTTCAGTCAGTCCCTCTCTTAACAAAATACAAATGGGTAAAACTGCAATTGTCTGAAATAGAAATTCTTACTTGTGTATGCGGTTGAGCATGCACAGTTAGATGTGCGTGTACAGCTAAATGCAGTCGCAGTGTAAGGTGGCCGTGTGGATTGGCGGCGCGGCACGCCCATCGGCCGCCGTCAGCTATCTCCGCTCTCCTGATGGCGAGCGCGTCGTGGGTCCGACTGTATCTGCCGCTGCCCTCGTTGTCGCGCACCTCGCGGAGCACCCCACCGGCTGTCTCCCGGTACCACCTACAACAATAAATACCAGATGTCATATCAAAATAAGCTTACGACTTTTTAACATTCTCTTTCATACAACCTTAGCCCTGACAATAAGAAACACAACAAAAAGTATTAACTAAATAAATGCAGCTGTTCTGAAGCGATACTCTTATATACATTTGGCAATTGACTTTTATTTATATATATTATTGTAGTATTTCTCAAAGTTTGAAGACGAAGGTCTTTGACCAATGCATGTTGCCAGTAATGATTTACCGAATCGAAACATGGTCCTACACGGTTGTCTGTTTGTAAAAGTTTAAAGTTACACAGAGAGATATGGAGAGGGCTTTTTTTTAAATGGATGATAATGGAATGGTAACTCTCCCTGCGCTAACGGTATACGCTGGCGGAGCATCAGTGAGGTATGCGTATGAGTATCCTCACCTATGTGAGGATAAAAAGACAGGTCAGTTAGCCTGTCATGACGAATTCACTTGGAATTGAACACGATAGTTTCCAGGAAGAACCGCGAGGAGGTCGACCTGACAGGGTACATTGCTAGAAATGGGGATACTAATCTCCATTATTAGCAATCCCTTCTCCCCAAAATATGGAGAGGGCTATGCTCAGAGTTTCTTTGCTTGACAAAATCCAAATGGAGGATACCCGCAAAAGAGCTATAGTTACCGTCATAGCCCGAAGGATAAGCAAGCTGAAGTGGCAAAGAGCTGGTCACATAGTAACCTTCCTTCTATGGTGACTTCGTACAGACAAAAGCAGTTTAGGACGACACTTTACTAGATAGATTGACAACCTCAAATGCATTGCTGGGGAGTTAGTGGATGCAGGTGGACCAGGATTATTCTTTATGGCAGTCTATGTATATGGGAGGCCTATGTTCAACTGTGGGCGGATAATGGCTGTGATGATGATGACGAGTGTACTATTTGAAGTTTAAATGCTTAATAAAAATAACAAGTGGGTGTCAATATACAGCACAGGTCCTCATGATTGTTTGAGGGAAAGACCTAACTGAACAATGGATTGGTAGAATGAGGGTCCTATCAAGTTGAACGAGAATCAAGTTACGAGTAAATTTCTATGTAATGATTTTGACCGTTAACAAACATAATTAATGCGAGAGCTAAGCTAGCTCGTCTCTAGTTGAACACAAATTAAACTAATACATCGAATATTCTATGAAATGTGGAATTTAGTACCAGTTTAAGCAAAGTTTGTATAGAGCCATATCTATGTACATGCGTGCAGTGCAATAAATTGTTGGTTTACTAAGAAATTTAATCATTGTTAATTTAACACTACACGTACTAGGTCTTTGTATTGCCCCACTAGTTTTGTATTAATTTCCTGTATTTGTACTTAGTATATAAAATCATTTTTATTTCTTAATTTTGTCAGTTATAACCGAACCAATAGAAATATACATTTCCACAAACCTCGTCGTCTCAATACAACTCTCAACAGCTTGTTTTATAGGTAATAGGCAACTTATAAACATATTAAATGTTTATTTTTTTTTTTGTAAAAATAATGAATAAATTAGAGCCCCAGAAAGTATCCAGATCGGCACAAACAGATATATCTTTTCATAAATACAAATGTTTAATTATTATTATTCTTTATTGCACTTGTAAGTTACAAGTAATTTAATGCATTTATAAATATTGTGAGCAAGCGTGGACATATCTTTGACAGAGATCTCTTCCAGTCAACCAAATACAGTTAGAAAGCATGTTGTTAGCTGACAGCTGAAGTGTTACAACTATTAATACATAAACAAATATACAGTTAAATAAAATATTAAAATATATAATATATTAAAATATTACATAAATACATACACTATAAATACATATAATACCTACCTACTTATATAATAAATGTTATTAGATATATCTATACATAAATTTGAATATATTTGTGATATGCGATGTCCATAGGCGAAGGTGTGTTTTAAATATTACTATTATACTTCCAAGATCAATCTATCAAGTGTATTTGACTACTCTATCTGGTGTTACAATTGTAATTATATTTTGTTTATTACGTTAAATGCGTTAACAAATTCTTAAAACTTTCTATTTATAGTAAGGCATTGTTGAAATTTTCGAAAGCCGGAAGTTCAGCGGAACAAAACGCCTCCTCGCAAACTCGTACAAAACAATTGTTTCCAACCTCTTGGTAGGACTTCATTATAGTTTAAGCGGGAAATTCCTGAACACAGAATGTAACTATATTTCTAGTAGGTATATTTTTTTCAATTTTTTTTTTATCAGAGGAATACTTTGTACAGTTAGTTATATATATGTAATACCTACATATATACAAAGTTTTTTATTTTGTAAAGAGTGATAATGGAATGGCACCCCACCCGCGCTATCGGTATACACCGGCGGGGCACCAGTGAAGGATGATAGGTGAGGATGAAGCAGGTCAGTTAGCCCATCGTGACGAATTCAACAAGAATTGTTCACGATGGTTTCCAGGGGGGACCACGTGGAGGACGACCTAATAGGGCATATTGCTAGCAATAGGGCTGTCAAACTCCATTGCTAACAATCCCTTTCCCCCCTATGTGGTGTCTTACAGGTGAGTTGTCAACTTATTTACTAATGGCCAATAAGTTATCTAGCCTATAGTAAAATATTGTTTTCAATAATATAAAATAAAATGAATATTCATTTGCCAAAACACTTTTACATCGCTGATTAAATCTATGAATTGCACACTATGCATCGTGTAATTGCGAAATGCGATCGAAATGCGATTCAGTTATATTGATACATTAAAACTGTACACTTACATTGAACATATATTACATATAAAATAATATAATATAACATATATAATAATAATAATCATAAAAATAATCACAATTCCTTTAAAATTAAACTACGATCCCTTTTTTTTTTTAATGACTTTTGTACTGGCGATTAACGTAAATACTAAAGTTATAAAATAAATTTGACGTATTTATATATATATTATGGATAAAGTTGACAATGTTGATTATAAAATATATTTATTATTGTTATTCAATTCTAAATTTGAATTTATATTTTTAATTATTTAATTTTATTTTATTAAGATAATTAAGATAATTCTATTTTAAATTATCAATACTTGTAATTTAATACTTTTCTGTATGATCATACTTACTTCTAGGCACAATGTACATTTTTTTTAATAAATGACTAATGACTATATATATATATATATATATATATATTGTTATAACATAAATTAGTAGAATCTATAAGTAACATATGCATATACAAATAACACAATATAATAAAAACAATAATCTTAAGGTTTTTAGTGAAATTTCTATAAATTTGTGACGAGGCTTAATTATATTAGCATGTAATCTGAATCGGTTCATAATCAATCAGAACGAGAGGACCTCTTTTTTGAAGTCGGTTCAAAAATAATACCAGCGAAATTTGCCATTAATGTCTATTTTCCGTGCGTTGTACTCACAGGCCGGTTGCTAGGCAACGGCACGCGCGAGCCATCATTAGTGTTGCAAACAAAGGCGAGAGACCGCCACGAAACACATATCCACATTTCATTTCATATCCTTGAGGTTTTTTGGTAAACATTTTTATAGTCGACATGTCTACAGGAAATGCTTGACATGTGAGAATATTCATACTAGTAGATTGTCAATTTGTATTAACATTATTTATGTCTTAAACAGCTATTTCCCTACCTTAGTCTATATAGCCAGAGGAAGACTTTGTACAAAAGTTGATTGCTTGGGTACCTCTGTCCCATTCACGTTTCTACCGTGAACCAGTTGTGTATGCATGGCTTTGTTTCGGTTTGAAGGGTTTTTTTTTTATGACTGATAATGGTATGGTAACCTCACCCGCGCGGGGGGAAGGGATTGTTAGTAATGGAGACTGAGAATCCCATTGCTTGCAATATACCCAACCAGGTCGACCTCCTCGGGGTTCCCCCTGGAAACTATCATGATTAATTCCTGATTCATCATGATGGGCTAACTGGCCTGTTTTCATTCTCATCGATCACCCTTCACTGGTGCTCCGCCAGCGTATTCCGTTAGCGCAGGGGGAGTTACCAATCCATTATCATCTATTTAAAAAAAGCCCTCTCCATATCTCCACCGCTGAACATAAACCTCCCCCATGGGGGGTTTTTCCAGCAGTTGCCATGCTTGGCAGGAGGATTGGCAACCGCAGTAAGGCTTTAGAGATATTTTAACAGGGACGCAGCTGCTCATCCCTCGCCCTCCCTTAGTTGCCTCCTACGACACCTACGGGAAAGAAAGGGGTGCCCCATTCTATACTTTATATTTAGTCTATATATTTTGGACGATTCTTAAAAATTTCACAACGAGGTTCAATAGTTATTATATAAATTTAGTTTTTTTTTACAACACAGGGGGCAAACGAGGACTATGGCAGGACCACATGGCCAATTATTATGCCAAGCGGGAGGCTTATGTCCAGCAATGGACAGTTAAAACCAGATATGATCGTGATACATAAAAAAATCAACCGAATTTAAAATCTTCCTCTTTTTGAAGTCGGTTAAAAATAAGATTTTAACTGATTGATCGATTCAATGTAAAAATTGCTAGGTCTAGAAATGCACTTTGTAACGTATTTTGCTCAGGGGAATAAAGTAAGCGAGCGTCAAGAACGGATCTTCTCACGGGATTGGGAGATAATGGTTTCCGCGCGAGCGCAGCCAAAGGAAACAGCCAGTCTAATGTAAATGATAATTGCGATGGGGGACTATGAAAGAATTTGTCGATTCCGGAAAATTCTTTCAGAGTGCATGGCAATATTTTAGATGGAAATATTTCTGTTTCTAACCCTTTAGAGTTTAAATTTAGACTGAATCGAATAGGTTAGTAAGTCAGGGAGTTTTTTTTTATTATGCAATTACTAGCTATTTCCCTTGTATTTGCTCACATGAATCACTACCTTGTGCTATGTTAGGAAATAATTTGCTACCTGTGTACCAAATATCAT